ACAGAATTAGTGGTTTTAGTACAGATTCTGTACTAAAACCACTAATTCTGTTTTGTGATTGGCGCGGTTTAATCAAAGAATCGCCCCGTTGAACCAGAACCTTCGCGACATTTCAATTTATTATTTACTTCGAAGGCTCTGGAATCCAGGGTAATACTTTCACTGAGTCGTATCAAAATACATATTACGTTAAGCTTCATTGCAAAGGAAGATATAATCGACATTAAATTACCTAGACATTGAAACTGTAGATTTGTCGCAAAACATTTACAACATGTAATTTTTTTTTTGCATATGTCCATGCATATATTGTGCAACGTTTCATATTATATGCAATTAAATGCCCGGCGTTGTGACTAATAGCTAGCATACCTTTGATTGTCTTCTAGATTTCTTTAGTTGAATATTTTTTGAAATAAATATATTCGAAGTTTACGCTTGCAATCCGAGCGGACTGGCGCGGATAAAGTAGCGCGGGTTGCGGTTATAGTCAGTAGCGGATAGAAGTGGATAGCGGAAAAGAAACAGGATATACTGTACATTCCCTTTGTGTTTTATATATCTAAGGCGCTTAAAAAGACAATGACTTAATTATTGAGTTTTCATTTCTAAACGTTGAAGTCACTACATGCAAGCGAGTGTTAGGTGAATTGAACCTGCGGACTGTATAAAGAATAAGAATACTGACAAAGTTAATGGACTCAATAGGGCCATTTATACGAGCGAAAATAAGTCGCGGCCTAAATAAGCCGCGGTTTAAATAAGTCGCGAACAACTCGTATAAACAGTCAATTTAATTTGCAATAAGCCGTGGCTTATTTGGGCCTAGCTTTCAACTCTGGGCTTATTTTAGCCGCGGCTTATTGCAAATTGACTGTTTATACGAATCGTTCGCGACTTATTAAGTCGCGGCTTATTTAGGCCGCGGCTTATTTTCGCTCGTATAAATGGCCCTAATGATAACAAAGATAACAACTTATTCGTGATTATCTAATTACGCCTGTGTCCTTGTATATATAGTTTCAGATATCAAACCAAAGTTCATAGTTTAGGAACTATAGATATATAAACAATATATATTAATATTATTACTAAACCTACAGTGCATGGCTGGCCACAGAGGGCCCAGATAGTAATTAACTTATTAATAAATATGTGATGCTTCCCGAGTAAAATAAATTATCAATCAGGTAGCTGGATTAGTCAGTAAACTCTCTGTTTGTATTACAAACTGGAGACTCAAATGCGCAGAACTGACTAAAACGCATCTTTAATTAATAGTAGAAACTTAACAAATTTAAATCATCTTTAGAAACCTATTTTTATAACTTATGCATTGTGGAATAGCTTTTATTGCTTCTAGCAGTATCTTATTGCAGATCTAATTATTTATTGCATTTATGATTTAATATCATAAACTGGTTAAAGCATAATATTAAGATATTATTTCGACATTTCCCATATCATCGTGACAGTCTGGCCATTGTGGAAAAAGCTTTATATCTTTTGCTGGTCCACTTGGATTGTCTCCAACGTGCGAAAATAACTCACTAAATTTTTTAGGCACCCCTAATCGTTGACCTGGTCTGTTATCTGCAACATAAAATGTGCTTTTGGTGAAAGAGCCTGGCGAATAACAACACGCTGCTGTCCAAATGTATGCAGGCACATTAACTCTATAGCCCTCACCATCATTAAAATAGTCGCTAAATCCTGGTTTACCAAAAAATCGTTTTACATTATTTGCAAATGTTGAAGGTACACTGCCAACAATGATATGTATTGGAGCTCTTCTACAGTTTTCATTTGCCCATAGAATAACTTTACCTTCGAATCTTTGCCACTGCCCTCTATTTAGTTTTGCAAATTGTGGAACCGCGTTTGTGTAGACAAACGTTTCTTCTACTCTATTTTTATCAGGTCCAAGACCATAATGCGCAGCAATGAGGTGACCCCTGTCGATGGGAGACTTGACTGATTTTATGCATGGAGTACCAGGTTGTATATAATTTTGGGTTAATTCATAATGCCAGTCATTTTCGGTCAACAGTGGAGTACTTCCTATTGTTTTATAGCAAGGAATATGCTGAGAAGTTTTAAAGTAGTCATCGTTATTTTGTTGAAAATGTGGGTCAATATTTTCGCTACTCTTGAAACGCCCCACTCTTCTGTAACCACTCTCGTACTGTTCTGCAGTCACGACAATCGTGGCGGCAAGGGGAATGCGATTTTCGCAATCATAAAAGATACCAATTGAGCCAGGTTCACAAATTTCAGCTACCTTTGTTTTATCTTTGGCGAATACTTCTAAGCCATTTGGAAGGTACCGCTTTAGTGGAGTGGAACCTTTAAAGTGTTCAAATGCTTTCTTTCTATCATTCCACGCACAGGCCTCTATAAAATTACAAGCGCAATCCATCAAACCATTTCCGGGACACAACTGAGCATTTGAGAACTGGCTCCAGTATGAAATTATCAATAGAAGAAGGTGAATGATTCCAAGACTTGCCGACTTTCTCATCCTACAATGGTAAATGAAATATAATTATAAAATTAAAACTTACAAACTAATTGGACGAGAACTTTGCCAGTTGGGACGGGGTTATAGAACCAGGCTTGGTTAAAAAATATCGTCGAATTTTAAAAGTATGGGCTTCCCTAAAAAAATACCTCCCCAAAAAACTAGCAGCAAATTTGAGATGTTCAAAAATCTTTCAAAAGTAGCAGCCACCACGAAATTTACGGTAAGTATGCCAATTATTCGTAACTATATTCAAAATATGAAGACATTGTACCGAAGGACGAGTTTAAGTTTAGAACGTTCTCGGCCTCCAGTTCCAAATATTTATTTTACGAGCTTCCACTGCCACTCAGCAATCTTCAATGGGTAATGTTACTATGCCCAGACTGCATGGCAGTCGAATTAAGCTAGTAAAATAAATATCTGATATTTTGAAACATAAAGCGTCCAAAAACTCATGATAATCCTGGATTCACTTCAAATGTCTTTATTCCAGTTAGGATTCGAGTGAGGATTTAATTGTTTCAGAATTATTGTCCTTTTTCATAATTTTTTAATGCTATATCATATGTAGCGGTTATGTCAGATACTACAAGGCACAAAATTTACCAGAAATATTTTGTAATTATTTTGTATCCAACAACGAGATACATCATCACAATACCAGAAATGCATCGCTGCTTCACAAGTAAAACGGAGCAAATTACACAAAACTTTCCGTAGCAAACAAAGGGACCGAAATTTGGAACGGTCTTGCGAAAGACTTCAAACACATAAAATCACATTTCGTCTTCAAACGAGAGGTAAAGAAACACTTTCTTCATATCTAATTAACTATCGGAAGTTTATATATACTATCAAACTATAGGGCACAACAAATCAAAACATGCTTATTTCTATGATTACTATGAATAGCAAATTGTAATTGTATTATTATAATATACTGTATATATTTGCAAAATTTACTATTTTAATAATTTGACTTTGAACTGGTTTACTTAATTAATTAAAAAACAAATTGTAAATATATTTCTATAGGGATCTAATTAAGCAAAAAAGTCAAATGGTTTAAAATAGACTCCTAGCCCTCTTCTTCCATAATATTAGTATTTTCATGTAAATAAATGAATAATATTGGTATGAAGCGTTCGTCTGCCATTACAACTCTACCCGCGCTTTTGAACTGCACCGTCGTCACACACACTCAAGCATGAGCCTTCCGTTTGCCTTTAGTTTTCGCGCAAAAGATACATTGTGGGCGGGCACTGGCAATTTGTACAAATTTTGCATTCGTAGCACCCTCGTACTAATAGGAGTGATACGGGAAAAGTAAACGGCTAAAGGTACAAGCTCCGGAAGCTCATCTCGCTTTTTCCTCGTATTGTTTATCATTCGTTTTATGTTTATCCTAAATGAAATACGCCTACTTGCACACTATCCGCTGATCGTCGTGATCGATCGTAAAACGTACCAAATGTGAAATAAACGATTTTTCGATCGTTTTCTCAGCAAAAACA